TGAAGTGAATTCAAATGAAATTATTGTGTAAAATACTTAAAACGTAAGTTTGTACCCCTGAATTAAAATGCCCACATTTTGCCATAGCTCAAGAGATGAGCATTTTTGGTACTAACAAGAAAACAAACCCTCCATATGTTATATAACATTTCAAAACTCTAAATAAAGCTCAGGAAAAGTATGAACCATGTCAGCTTTAAGAATTTAAACAGATTGCATAAGGTCAGGCCAAATAACAAGACTCTGTGTCACAGGTTAAACTTGCTGACAGTAACTTGTTTAGTTTAAATGATGTCCTTTCCTATGAATGCATCAGTGATGAAATGTTTGTCTGTTCAAATATATATTTGAATGTTGCTGTTGTTACTTTAAATTCTCTGCTGCTGGTTATATTTATGTAATAGACATTCAATGATGCTCTAACACTTCAATAATATTCAGTCAGAAATTGTGTTTTAATGTGCTACTTGATTTTTTTTGGGGCAGTTTATCTTAAGTAAAACTAATACTTCAAAGGCATTAATGTATACCAAAATATCCGCAGACAAATTATACTGACTGCTCTCCTGATGAGTTACATGAGAGAGCAGATGTTACGTGGCTGACGAGGGTAAATGCAGGCCTTAGTTAATGATCGATATATCTATACAGCTTAGTGACAGTCCACTGTCACAGTACACAAAGGACAAGGATAGCTTCTTCTTCTCCTCTTCCTCGTGGTTCATAATTATATTCAAAATGTGATATCTCTATGTGAGTGCTCATTTATCTCAAAACAAGAGGACATTCAGCACTTGTAATTTAAAGTGTTTGTTTTACATTTCATGGCACAAAGTGAAGAATCCATGTTGTTCTTCTGGAAGACATCACAAAAACAAATGAGTCACATTGGTTTTATGCTATGGAATAACAGGTTTTTTCATGTCAGTGTTGATGTGATGAGAGGGAACTCATGTGAGTTAGATAAATTAAATCAAGCTAAGTGAATGGATGCTGTCAAGGGAAATCAAGTCAGGGCTTCCAGGTGAAACTCACATATAAAATGTATCATATGCGTTCATTATGAAAGAATTAGATTGAAAAAGTAAAAATAAAACACCTGCAACGGCTTTTTATTCTTTTTGAATATGGATTAGTTCTAGTTTGTAGTATTCCCTTAATTCTCACAGGAGAGATTTTCCCACATTCTGCTCATACTTGCAGCAAGAGGTTAAAAGCATCTATGACGAAGCAATGCATGTTTGAACATGTTTGAAAGCGGCATGTACGCTGGTATGTCACTTAAGAAAAAAAACCCAGTGGAAAACTTGGCACTGAGCACTCACTTAGTCACCAAATGTAGAAAAAAAAAAACGTAAGAAAAAAACAACATCTCTTGAAGTCACTGTCAGCAGGAATGCTCCTGTAGGCTATGTCTGTGTAAGCGTGTGTGTGTGTGTGTGTGTGTGTGTGTGTGTGTGTGTGTGTGCCCCTCCCTTTCCGTGTTACTTTCCATACAACCCAGGCAGGAGCAGAACAGAAACAAGCAGAGCAGAAGTAACCACAACACACAACACAAGCAGACTCACAACGATAGACACTAAACACATATGACACTGCACCTAGTTGCTCTCCTTACCTTTGTGCTAAACTGGTTGACAGTGCTGAATTGATCTGATTGAAGTTTAGAAATTTAAAAAATGGAGAGAATTTGTAGCCGCACCATGTCCACACTCTCATAAAGTGAGTTCCCCCAAGTGTCCAGTGCTTTATATGTTCAGCTGAAGTTATTAATAGCTGAATATGAGCGGCCTGTTTGGCTTGGTGGCTCTTTTTATTCTGGAGGCTTCTTTATTAAAGAGAAAATGTTTACTATCAAGTAGCCTTATAAGGTGTATTTCACAGACAGAAGGTCATATTATGTCATGATCATTTCAAGAACAAATAAACGTAGTATCCTATAATGTCATTTAGGGATGAAATTTGGGGACACAGTTTGGAAAGTATAGGTGATAACAGAAAGAGCGTACATGTGTCATGTTATTAAAGAGTAATACAGAATGATTTGATGTATCTTAAAGAAGAATATTTATGTAGGCTTTGGACGTAAAGTTCATCTTTATAATTCATGTGAACTTTTTTTCAAGAGATCATTAAAGACCATTCATTAAATTTGGCCTTAAAAGTGATGTCATCATAAGAGTCTGAGTTTCTATTTTTGTTAAATATTGTTTTATCTGTACAGTGTCTTGTTGTCTTGTGAACCTTTTTACTGATTAATGTTTATTAATTTCAGGCACCGGTAGCCATAGTGGTTGGTGAACGCACCACATATATGGAGGATGGAGTCCTCTTAGCGGGCGGCCCAGGTTTGAATCCGACCTGTGGCTATTTTCTGGCATGTCATTCCCCAATTTCTGACTCTCTCCTCAGTCCTATCTTTAAAATAAAGGCTGAAAAATCCCAAAAATAAACCTTAAAAAAAAACGGGTCTTGTTTTTATAATTACATTTTTGATATTTTTGTCTTTAGTCAGTTTGTTCCTTTGTGAAGCTCTTATAGGGCTGCACGTTTCTATGAACAGTGCTTTATGAATGAAGATGACTTGATTTTAGATATTGTTTTTCTTGATTCTTTTTGTGAGATCCCGTAGAGTTATGCGATATTTGTAAATGTATTTCACTTGACAAAATGTAAAATTACTTTAGCTTTAAAACGGAGCATGACCTCACAAAATGTTTTTATGACGCAGCTAGAATTAATGAAGCAGCTGGATGACCTGCCGTATCGAGATACTTCTTCATGGATTGATAATTGAATGGTGTGGGCGGAACTAACTACTTCTGCTTAGGAGAACATTTTTACTTTGAATATTTATTTTGACAACATGAATGTTGTGGAAGGACGTCAAAGAGAGTTTGCAACATTGTTCTTTGGAGTGCCGATGACTGTGTCGCATTTCCGGGATCTGAGGTGAAACATTTAAAAGAGACAAATTAAAAATAAAAATAAAAAATGCAATTATTAAAGATTAGTATGTTCCTCACACGGTGTGAAAACCGCCTTTTACACCCTTGTGTATTCAGTGTTTTGGCCTCAGTTTTGATGGCACCCTCCTTCTGTTTACCACTGTCACGTGTTACCTCTTAGTAATCAATATTGCGCTGACTTTTCTACACTTGCACAACTTTAATTCGAACGTGTGCGCCGTCATTGCCAGGATAGAGTGTGAGTCATGTGCGTGGGTGACACATGCAGCAGAAACAGTGCAAAAAGCAGTGCAGTCTCCAAATTAATTAAAATCAGCATCGAACAGAAACTCACATACACAAGTTGCGCTTTTAGATTTGTCATTTACTGAGGCTTCACAAGGTTAAAGGATAACTTCCTATAATCTATCTGCCTGACATCAAAACTATAAAAAGTGGGGTTTTTTAACCTCATGATGTAGTTTTTTGTCAAGCTCTAAATGAATCACAAGTATGCTCAGATATGCAGATTTTGTCTGAAAAAGTCAGAAACACAGCTCTGCTCTGTTTATGTATTATAAGATGTGTAATTGCCTTCATTTGCATTAAGTGTGTTCAAAGATATGGCCACACTCAACCCATTTAACGTTGGTGAGTGTAGGAACAAAATCTTAATGAGTGTGTATACAATTGTGCCCTACAAAGAAACACAGGATCACATAACCCTGGATACACACACACACACACACACACACACACACACACACACACACACACACACACACACACACACACACACACACATACTGTAATTTGTTCTTGTGGGGGGAACAGCTGTCACGCTGCTCTGAATTCCTCTGAGAGCGAAAACAACACATTTAACTGCAGAGATGATCAGCCCAAATACAAGCTGGCAAAAAATCAACCACCAACAAATTTATTCTGGGAATAACATCAGTTTATTTTTTATAGATAAGAAAATGAAAGCCTAATTTCCAATGTGGCCCTTCAAAATAAAATTGGTGTTTCCTTAAATAAATCAGTAAAAAGTTCATTTGAAAAGTTTTAAAGTTAGAAATAGTTTTTTCAGTTACTTTTAGTGTTCTATGCATTTATTTGTGCCCCATTTGTTCTTTTCTTATCTTAGTTTTTATGTTATTTGTGCTACAGCAAAACAAAGTGTACTACTTTAATGTAATAACATATTTTTCAGGTCATTTATCTTTAAGCCCAACAGTTTTGGTCTTCTTCCTCATATTATCAATTCTTCTCGGGTTGTTGTTTTGGTACTTTATTGGTGGAACATTGAGGCTGGTGTGGTGTGAAAACAAAAACCCAGAGTTAACTATAAGGGAAATGTATCTGTATGTATTCTGGTAAATACATACATGTCCTCCCTGTAGATAAGAAACTGAAAATGTACAGACTGCTATCAGGGACGAGATGATTTAATACTTCCTGAAACCCCACTATTACTCACAGGAATGTATATACTGTGAATATATGACAATGTTTATGTGTTTAGGTGTTTTTCCTAGTGACAATCTCAGCTTTTACTGGTAAGTGTGGGATGAAAAGGATCAGTGGGGAGCTCTCGACAAACAGCTGTCTCTGCCACTTCACATCTGGGTGCTTTGGATGCTGAAAAATTTCACAGTGCTGGAATGATTTATCACTCTGTACAGAAAGCCACTCATCATTCATAGGAGTGAACACATGTACAGAGGAAGAAAAAACATAGGAACAACAAGTGTAGACTGCTGTGGGCTTGAATAAAGAGCCTGCATGAGAGCTTTGTAAATAAGGCACTTTGCTTTCACATGCCTACGAAACTGAAAAATTTCACACAGCTAGCTAAATTTACAGTTTTCTTCTCCCCCCCCCCCCCCCCCCCTTTTTTTGTTGTTGTTTTACTCCCCTCCCTCCTCTGAGCTCACCATGAAACCTGAGGTGGAGGGAGGCAGGGTCATCCGGGAACATAGCAAGTGGAAACTCCTCCTCCACCCACCCAGGGAGGGGCTCAAGGCACACAAGACTTGCTATAAAACTGAGGCAAGAGAGTAGAAAGGAAACTTGACTTAAGTCTGGAAGCAGGTATTGAACAGAACACCGTGGATCAAAGCTGAATCTTCTTCTTCTGGCCTAAGGGGTACAGCATGTCCGAAATGCTTGACGACATTTTTACAAAGGTGAGTCAGAGAATATGGAATCTACTTTGTTTTGGAAAAAAAAGGACTTCATAGAGTTGGATTGGATAAGCTCTCTAACTGCCTTCTCGATGTGTTTATTTCTTCATTTTTTGTTTATTCCTGCTCAGTTTGTTTCTCTATAAATCGTCGGTTTGACAGTTTATTCCTTTGAACTGATTGTATTCACAGAGGAACGTTTTACTCTGAAGAGATAACCAGATTAGAGAGACAGTCAGCACTGGGTTGTTTGCTTCTTGAATTCCAATCTTCCACCAGCTGCATATTTTCACGAGGGACAGAAAAGCAGTCAAAATCAACAGCTTTCCACTTTTAGATTCTTAGACGTTGGGGGAATTGCATGCAAATGGTAGAATACGCTTGAAAAACTAATTATTTTACTTCTCTTTGAAGACTACTTAATGGCAGTATTTTGACATGTTTGTCTCAGTTCATTCTTACAGAAAAATCTAAATCTAAATTATGAACCTGCTCTCGTGAAAAGTTATTTTTCTGGAATTGAGACCCTCTTTTGTGAGATTTAATGCAGAGATGAGGATTAGTAGTACATTTTGAGGATGAATATTTAACCTACATTACATTGCTTTGAAATGAGTTGAAAAGACAATGTCTGGATCTTGAACTTGTCAATCATCTGTTACAGAACTTTCTGAATCCGGCAGTGGAAGACTCTGTGCTGCCGCAGCAGACTCAACCCAAAGCACCAGGCCACAGTCGGCTGAACCGGTCTGCCTCCTTCTTCTCCCCGCCCTCCCCTCCTGCCACCTCAGACCTCAGTTTGAGCACAGAGCATGTTAACAATGCTGACAACGGCGGCTCTTTCTGGCCCACCAACATCTGGAGCCAGGGCCCGGTTTCCAGACCAAAGCAGCAGCCCCCCTTTAGGCCTGACCGCTCCATGAGCCTAACCGAGTCCAGCAGCAGCCTGCTCGCCTCCTTTGGACAACTGAAGAACCTGGAGGCTTTTAATTCAGGCCCTGCTACTACTACGGTGGCTCCACCGCCTGGTTTCCCTCCCTCATCTGTCCTCCCTCCCTTGATTCCCCAGATGGTTTCCCCTAATCGTTACAAGACTGAGCTGTGTCGCGGCTTCCAAGAGACTGGCAGCTGCAAATATGGCAGTAAATGCCAGTTTGCCCATGGTGAGCCTGAGCTGCGAGGACTCTACCGCCACCCTAAATACAAGACAGAGCCCTGCAGAACCTTCTACAACTTTGGCTACTGCCCCTACGGCTCCCGCTGCCACTTTATCCATGAGGGGTCCATCAGCGGTGGTCCATTACAATCTGCCAAATACCAGAACCAGCAGCAGCCCACTGGAACCCGCCACCAGCTGCGTCAGAGTGTGAGCTTTGCCGGTTTCCTGGGTTCTTCACGCAACTCACCTCCTCCATCATTCCCCTCGTCCTTCAATGATCCCAACCTCGGGTTCAGCCGTGCTCCCTCTGTTTCTCCACCTCCTGCTGATCTGCTCTCCCCTGTGTTTGGGGACTCCCTGCAGCGGGATGCCGCAGCATTCCACTATGGCAAGCATCCAACCCGGGCCAGCACCGGAGACATCCACAACATTCCCCATATCCTTGAGCCAAAGGCCTCACGCTGCGTGTGCGGCCATGGGAATAACTTTAACAGCAACAACAGCAAAGTCTTTGCCAACATGGAGGACGGGCACCTCCACCAAGAGAGCAGCGGCAAGATGTTTCCTGGTCCCGGAGGGTTTGTGAAGCCGGCTGGACTCCAGCGCTTCTCATCTGAGGATTCCCTGGAGGACAGCTACAGCAGCAGCAGCAGCGGAGGCTCCAGTGGAAGCGAGTCTCCAACATTCGATGGATCTGCCACCAAGAGGCTCACTGTGTTCGAGCGCCTGTCCCTGTCCGACTAAACGGAACCAAAGGGAAAAACAACAGAAGAGAACTGGCACTCTGTGAAGCGTGTCTGTTTCTCTGGACTTTCTACAGAAACAGAACTGATCAGGACAAGTCCAATTTTGACGACACAATAACACTTAAAGTTCTTAATTTATCTTTGTAAAAAATGGACCTCACCTTGGAAAAACTACACATACTGAGATGATTTTAGTATCTAATCCTTATCAGACTCTATTTTTATACGTAATAATATGTAGCTTATAAGACCTTTGTATGTGGTCTTCCAGTAAAAAATAACTTCTCTGCAGATCTTGCCACTACCAGTAAAAAGCCTGGTTTGTACTTAAATCTGTAGTGATCAAAATGGCTTTATCTTTAGTGAAATGATTAATTCATGTGCCTTTAAATATTCTCTGTGCCTGATGGGATATTTACTCTTGGTGCTACGGACAGTATGTTTGATTCAGTAGCCTTACACAGTGAGACCTGATATGTGTCATTGATGCCATTATATCTGTGATATGCACTTTACAGCTAATTGAAAAGGGAGAAACTGTTAAATCTCCCAGTAGCATTCAAACCAAAGCTTCATACTTCACTCTGCTCTGCGTGTGTGTGTGTGTGTGTGTACGTGTGTGCACATGTGTGTGCACGTGTGTGCATGTGAGTCTGTATGTTTGGGCATAAATGTCATCTTTCAAAGACCTGGGGTGCAGGTATGTATGTGTTAGCTGCAGAATGCTGAAAGATCAAAGTGTGCTTCATAAGTTTTAGTTTCGTTAAAAGATTCTGTTATCATGGCTACTTCATAATTTGCACCCCATCTTTTATCGTCCCCTATTCGTTTGACAACCTGGTTCAGGGACTTTTATCACCGCAGTATTCCTTTCGGTTATTGGTTGCCTTGTGATGTTTAACTTAAACTAATATATTTATTATGATATTTATTTGTGTTTAAAGGAAAAAAACAAAATGTATTTTGTACTTTATTTATGGAGGAATATTTCAACATCTGTGAAATATCAATGTGAGGAAAACAAAAAGCAGTAAAAAAAAAGAGAATCTTATATTTTTAATTGCCTGCAAGGGACAAAATAAATTTCTGAATAAAGAAATGAATGTATGCTGGTGTCTTTGGCTCATGTGTTAATCAGTGACAACTACATGTTTGCTTATCTTGCTCAGTTCAAACCCCTTCAGAGTTTAATATTTGACCACTTACACAAACGTTTTACTTCATAAGAACAGTTCAGTTACTCATTCAGCCTTAGAGTTTAAACGTTTTCTACAATCTGAGGTAAGGTTATAGCTAAATGAATATTATTTGAATCGTATTTTGTGAATGTGGAGTTTTATTATACAAGCATTCCATTAAACTAATCTATCGTTTTTTTATATACAGAGTGCCAAATCACAAAGAAACACTTTACACCCTTACACAAAGAGCAGTCTATTCTGTACTCATTGTTATATTATTTCTAGAGACCCAACATGAATACACCACCTTCCTGTGAGGCAGAAACCTCAACAGAACCAAACACATTGATGAACTGCCATCTTCCAAAACTGACTGATGGGTTTATATAGTCAACAATACGCCAAATACAGCAACTCTTTCTTAAAAAAAACTTATTCAAATAGATGTGTACTTAAGTGATTTTGCATAAAGCTTTGTTGAAGTTCTGCATGAATCAGGACAACGTACCATATGCCTGGTTGTATTTTCTCCATATGGCCTTGGCCTCACTTATGTAAGCTCAGAAGATTTTTTTTTGCAATTTTAAATACATTTTAAATACCCTCTATTACAACAGGTTAGTTACTGTATACAGTTAGCTGACGAGAATAGACTATTGCATGTGGACCTCTGCTTTTGTGCGTGTGTTTTGTGGCACACAGTGTATTTGTTGTGTATACAGCAGAGCATAGACGACAGCGTTTAGATCATCTCACGAACACATTATCAGACAGCTTTACAATCCCATGCAGGTAAAGGCTGCGCTGATAAATCGCTTATGAAGATGACTTAAGAAAAGTTTGAATAAGGTTGCAGAGAACATATTTTACATATCAGGTCCCCAACTCGAACTAACCCACTAAACAAGCTATGAGTCAGCAAGCTTTTGCACTGTTGAAACCTCCAGACATTTCTTTGTCTTCTTATCAATTCTAGCTGTGAAGTAAGAAGAAGCCAGTGGGGGAGTAGACCAATAACTAATGAAGAGAATTAAGATTTGTATGGCTGAGTTCTGTCAGTAAAGCTGCACATGTGAAGGCTGAATTTCAGATACCAGTTGTGGTTTAATTTGAACAAGTCACCCTTGTAGCAGGGCGAGAGAATTCTGTAAAATAAGATGTCTGATCTTAATCAACTGGGAAAAGTATCATTGAATCCCAGAATTAAGAGCATCAAGAAATGTCTTGTTCTGTTTTCAAATCTGGAAAATCAACACAAATTTGGAGGGCTGTTTAAATAATTTAAAAGTCCTTCAAAACTGAAAATAGACTCCCTGTTTATGACTCAAATAGACTGTCATCGTCCAACACATCAGTGTTAGTTTGGGGAAGAACTAAAACCTATATGTATCATGCTGATCTTATAGAAAAATGTGCAGAGATATAATTAGTGCTGAATGTTTCACAATATTGTGGATGAATTTGCCTTTGGTAATACACTTTTGCTTATGACTGATTTGATTATTTCTCAGCTCTGCATCCTGAGCTGAATCTGCAATGCTCAAAACCTTGTTGATAGAAACATTCTGGGCATGGGATTGTGCAAGGCACATTTACAAGTTAAGCAGAAGTTCATGAAAATACCCTTTTGCAATTTCCTCTCTATACTCCCAGTGTGATCTTGGGGTTGAGCAACCCGCCACCACAGCCTCCGCCCTGTGCTGTCAAAGCACTGGATTCTGAAGCAAGGCTGCAATCTGGACAGAGAAAATAAAAAAGAAGGAAATACTTCCCAGTAAAGACTGTCTGACACACAGACACACACAAAAGGCACTTGTTTAAAGCTTGGCAGACTGTTTGTCCTATTTTTCTGAAACCTACGACATTGTAATGCGTATCAGTGCATTGCTTTAAAATATGTTTTAAGTTAATTTGATTGAACCTTAAAAGGGTCAATGATATGCAACATCTTTTTAAATCTGTTTTTCTGTAGTTTTATGTTTGGAAAGTCAAGTTTCTAGAGATCAATATGACTCAGACAAGTCAGATTTCCAAGGAACTTGTCTCGACTTATTTACAAGAACTGCAGAGCCAAAGGACTAGACATTGTTTAAAAATAGCAGATTCAAATTTACTTGCCTTACTGCCTCTTGATCTATAACGTTACACATTGCGGGTATTTGCTTTTATAACTTTACTCTTTGGGTCGAGTCGAAAACTCTTGTATTGTGCCTTTTAGGTCTGTTCCTTTTGGACTGATTTTAACACTGTCATTGGTCTGGATCCACCTCCACTCAAACTCTGGTGTGGTTCATCTGTGGTGAGGACAGATGGTGGCCGAACCACAGGACTGTTTAAAAGTGGATATGTGACACTTACTGACTGAAAAGCTCAAATAAACAAGTTCAAACAAAGAGTATGCTCTCCAGTTTACTACATACTGCCATTATTGGATGTAATTCTGCATCCATGTGACCTGTAACGCAATGTAATGATATGTTTGTAGTACCACAACACTTGATGCCTCTGAATACGAAAAAAAAATGGTAAAGCTCCTGTGAGGACCTTTAGTCCTCAATGTGGACTTTGGAGACCCCTTTGGGCAAGGCTATTCGTTTATCTTTGCGGATCCTATCCTGTAAATGAATAAGCCAAATCATCCTGTTTAATTTAAATAGTTATTTGTTCTACTTTCTGTGAATCCTTTATGTGAAAAAATGTAAGCAAAGGCTATAGAAGCAGGCTGTAAATCCAGACTGTGGCCATGGTAACGGGCATTAAAAGTTACTACATAGAAATAATCAATCTTCTCACTGATGGTCTCGTCTGCGTTGGAGGTCATGTAGAGGCATCAGTATTATTTTCAGTGTGTCAGCAGACCTGAGAGTGCGGGTGGGAGTGTGACAGTGGAGGAGCTCAGACAGGGGGCGGAGCCAGGTTATGGAGGGCTTTGTAGGCGATAATGAGTGGATACAACTAGTGTACAAATGTATTTTATGACTTTCATAACAACTTTTATTTCATGTGTGATTCTATAAACTATAAGTGATAGTGATCTACCTACCCCCACATGTTTCACTTCTCCTATCATACAGCACAAGAAGTCACCTTGTTTAATAGCTCTGTCTCCACATGCAGATTATACTTTATGACAGACGATATCCAGGTACAGTCTGAGCTGATAGTTATCATGTGATCAGTTATCCCTTTATTCACTTTGTTTTGCTCCTAACCATGAGAATAGACGAGAACCCCACACAGAGGCCAACAGTCACATAAAGATGTGATATAACAGTATTTCCTTCTTTTGTAAGGATAAGTCAGTTAAGTAGGCATACATATGTCAATATATAATACAATATAATCTTAACCAAATAAAAGTGCAGCACAGCTGACAGGGTTATTAAAGTACTCGACTTTAGACGCTCAACAAACCTCAGCTGTAGCTACTACTTCTGCTGTTCATTGTGTCATGAGCTCTTGTTCCCCTTTGGACCAATGGCAGGATGTGTTGCTATGGTGACGGACAATGACCACAAAGAGTAAACAGCAAAGACAAAACGAAGGGGCCGGTGTGTGTTTATGTGTGTGCACAAATATTAACCTCCAAGTACGTCTCATGAGAGCAGACTGGTTTAAGTTCACCAAACTGTGCCGCTCGAACATGAAAAAACACCGTCTATAAATACAGGTGGATTATTATGCCTGTGTTGTTGAATTTATATGAAAATTCATAGTGGGTTTTTTTTGCACTGAACATAATGAAAATCAAATCAAGTACACATGTAAGACAAACCTTTATGGTTATTCACATCACTGTAGTCAAATAGTAAATTATTGCTAATTATGACATATCTTTTGCTCCATATCACCTAAAGCCCCTGAACAACCCTCTACAACAGGCCCTTCTAAACCCAGGCCTAACATTAGCAGCTCTGTCTGTGGAACTGTTAATGATCAACCACAAAGAGCTCCTGCTGTCAAAACTCTCTTTACCCTGGTCACCTGATCCTGACCACTGTGCACACAACACGGGAACAGAAACACACACACACACACACACACACACACACAGAGAGAGAGAGAGAGAGAGAGAGAGAAAAAAAGAAAGAGAGAAAGAGAGAGAAAAACACACACACACACATAAGAGCTAAAGTTCAAACCTGGGTGGAGATCCATTAAAGCTATTACATATTATGTCGTGTAAAGGTGAAAAGAGACTAAGAGATATTTACTCACTTAAGCAACAGATTCACAGGACAAAAGAGGCATTCATGTTATAACTGTAATAAAAGGAGAACAGGAGAGAGTTTGTTGTCAGGGGACACATTAGAGAAGGGTTTGAAGGATTAAAAGAACATTATAAATGGTGAAACTTTAGCAATTGCTCTGGACAGTTTGTTCAATTTTTCATAGAAAGTGCTAAATTGTTGTTGTTGTTTTTCTTCCAGGTACGAGGTGGAGTCACTAATCTGTTTTGATCTGGTCAGGCCAGTTCTGTTGGAACGTCTCAACCTGAAGCAATCGGCATCTGAGATTGAAAAGATCATCCAGAAGCAACACATTCCTACCTGAAGAAATGTGCTTCTGAGTGTGTGCATGTGTGCGTGCTTCTGTGTGTGTGTGTGTGTGTGTGTGTACTCAAGCACAGCCAGGTTTCAGGTTTGATATTTTTTTAACAGTTACTACCCCCCCCCCCATGTCATAACCTGCAGATTAAGCTTTATGGTTGAGAAATCTTTCAACCTCAAACCTTCGTCAAGCATTCAGAGAGTGACGGAGTACGTTATATAACTTCTCTTTTTATTAACTAGGTCACTGGAAAGCACTGCCTCTTTTTTTTCTTAGAAAAGACAAAACCCAGAGAGTGCAACGCACCAAAAAATCCATACAGATAGGTAATTAGGGTTTCTTCCCATGAACTCCCCAACACACCTGCTCTTAATC